CCCCAAAAAAAAAAAAAGGTTAATGTCCATTTCTGATAGGCCCCCAAAATGTCTGTCCTTCTCTAAGAACCCGTTCTAAGTCTCGTCTCTCCTTTCAACATCTCCTACTGGGTGGCCAGTGAGTGCCCCTGACTGCAGGCCACCTCCCACCAACAGTCAGCTCCCACCCATGAGAGGACAGAGTGGGGAAGGGAGATCTCCAGCAGAAATCAGAAACTCAAAGCCCAACTGCTGAAAGCCACGCGGAGGCTTGAACCATGACTAAGGCAGGCAGACTGTCGGGTGAGTGCTACCGTGCTGGGCAAGTGAAAGACCACCGGCGCCAGGACTTCCGAGCAGAGGGCGCTCAGCTGGAGAAGCCCAAGCCTGGGAGAAGCGGAGGGCCTTTGGCTCAGCTGCATCCCTCAGTAACTGATGAGGAACAGGACCCGGAAAGTCGTGCAGAGAGGGGCACACTTCCAGCCAGCCATGCTGTTTAAAATGACAGCGTCCTGTTGACTTCGCCCTCACGGGGACAGGGAAGAAATGGGTCCTGTCCCTCCTGCTGTAGCACTACTAGCACATTCCATTCGATGCACAATATGCAACCGGGGTCTGGATCGGCAACGTCCCAATCTCCGTATTTCACCTCTGACAGACACGCCTTTCATACTTACTTGATTGGCACAGAATTGCCCTTGGCAACTAGTTATGACCCAAAGGTTTTAGAGTCTTGTCGATATTAATGCAAAAGGTGGGTTCCCCTCCCATACTTCTTAGGAGGCAGTTTCAGAGCACCCAGGGGCAGAGGCCCCCAGCCCTGCCCCGCACTCACCAGCTCCCCGAAGGTCGGTGACGGGCCCCAGCTGATTGTGCTCTCGTCCGCGGCCACAATGATGCTGCTCTTCCTGCAAACAAGCAGAGGCTCAGCCCCAGCCCCGCACCACCCCCCAAACAAGCAGAGGCAGAGGCTCAGCCCCAGCCCCGCACCACCCCGGCTTCCTGACAGGCTGCCTTGGGGTGCAAGTTAGCAGCTTTAAAAATCAAGGACATTCCAGCAACAACCCCAGAGAGCAAGCACAGCCAATGGGCTACAGGCTTTCCTTGAACTCCAAAGACTGTCCTAAGCAGGCCATTCAAGGACACTGCTATGAAAGGGGCAGAGCTTTAGGGGTAGGAACCAGAGGCCAGAGGCACCTGCTGCCCACCCTGCCGAGGCTCCAGGGCTCTCGGTAGGCAGTCACTTCTGGGAGGACCCACATGTTGGGAAGAGGACACCAAACAAGGAGGAAGTGAAAGCCCATCCCAAGGCGGGGGGAGGCACACTCCATACACAGCTCCCACGGGCTAGGGCTGAAGCCACACTGACCCGACACCACCCACTGCACACCTGCCTGCTGACTAACAGTCACCCACTTCACCAAGAGCTGGACAACTCAACAAGGTCCTCACATAAACCAACAACCTAAAGTTGTCGGTGCACCTAGTGTCAGAGCAACTAACATCCTACTGTTTCCAACGGCGTGTAACTCTGACCCTTAGCAGAAGCAGGGCGGGACCAAGCTCTGCCTGTGCGATTTTTCTGAAGACCACAAACTTCTAAAATGATGCCCCCTACAAAGACAGGGCCACCCTTTCCCCTGGTGCACCTCCTGGACTCTGGAATTCAGGGCATCTGACACCCTGCTGCGGACATGGCCACCTACCCACAGGCCAGGCTCCGGATCCTCCAGCCACACAGGTCCTGCACTGCCTTGGGGTACATGGTAGATTCACGGGAGGTGTTGGTGGCCCCCCAGAAGAACAGACCACCTGAGGGAAGACAAAACATTCCCACAGTGACCAGATGTCTCAGAGCGGACGTCTCATCTTCAGAACCAGCAGGGTTAAGACCAGAGGGTCAGACGACAGAGGGTCAGCTGGTTTAAGACAACCCTGGGCCTGGGCAGTCATGTGCCAGGATGCAAGAGCTCAGGACAGGACGTGGCTCCGTGGTTCTCCACTGAAGCACCCATGTGCAAGGGAGGGAAAAACCAGGACTTGGTTCTGGACACCTTTGCCCCAAGGCATAGGCAAGGGGAGGACGCCACTCACCCACTTCACTGACGGCAAAGGAGCAGGTGTAACCGGCATAGATCTGGGAGGCCCCACGCCCAGGGAAGTCAAAGAGCTTCACCAGACGGGGGACCATCTCGTCCTTCTGTTCTGCGTGGCCTAGTCGGCCATAGCCACCGAAGCCCCAGGAGAAGACTCGCTTCTGGGAGTCCAGCACCAGCTGCAGGGAGAGAGGAGACAGGGTTGAACAAACAGGCCTCTATCCTGACAAGCTGGTGCAGCAGCCAATGACAAAGGAGCAGCAAAGCCCGCGGTACTCTGCACTGCCTCCTGCGGCGGGCGGAGGCACAGGAACACGATGCTTTCGACAAGGCCAGTGTGCAGTCTGCTCTGCCAGGGACTCCGTTTTCTGTTCTTTATTTTTTAGCAGTTCAGATATTTTTAGTTACAGAAAAACCACCTTTTCCAAGGGCGACCCAGTGAGATGGAGGTCAGAAGGAAGGTGCAGGCATCTGGCATTTCACTCTTCAAACTCTTGCTCCAAAACCTGGATGTGAGGGAAGGGTCCCTCCCGGGGACTCTGGGAGTGACTGGCATGACAGAGGGGCCTCTCTGGTGGGGTGGGTGGGGCTGCAGCCTACCCTTGGACACTGGATTGTTGTGACAGGGTTCCAAGTGCCAGTCAGTTGACATGATTCTTGGGGGGCTTACATTAAGACCCAGAAAGCCAAGGGTGGCTTATTCTGTAGGATTCTGAATGACAATCAGGAAATAAGCCTTTATCTGGTGCAACCATCATTTCATTTTTCTTGGAGCGGATTCAAAGGATGGTCAGGTCGTTCTGTGGGTCGACTGCACGTGTGGCGCCCTGTGCCTTCAGGAAGAAGCTGTGCACGAGGCTGGCGTACTGTGTGGTGGTGGGGTTGTCCACGGTGCTCTTGATGGGGATGAGGCTGGCGTACTGTGTGGTGGGGTTGTCCATGGTGCTCTTGATGGGGATGAGGCTGGCGTACTGTGTGGTGGTGGGGTTGTCCACGGTGCTCTTGATGGGGATGAGGCTGGCATACTGTGCGGTGGTGGGGTTGTCCATGGTGCTCTTGATGGGAATGCCTCCTGTGTTCGCCGCAATGATTCCCTGCACTCCTTTCTGGCTCTGAAGTCGCTTCAGTGTCTCCTCCGCCTCTGCCATCCTGGACCAACCTGGGAGCTCCACGTCACCGACACTCAGCCCCAGCCCCCACCCTCTCTCTGTTCTAATTTTTAAGCCACATGTCCCTCGCTTGTCAGAACAGGGCTGTCTCCAGACAGGAGGGCAAGACAACTGCTTTTCTATGACAAGCTTGATTAAACTACAGAGAGAACAAAGGGAAAGGCCGCCTGCCCTGGTCTTTCTTCAGTCTTCCTCTGCTCACAGCCACACACCTGATGTGCACCTGGACTTTGCTCACAGCCACACACCTGATGTGCACCTGTAAAGTGAGCAGAGGCTCTTCGGGCATTTGAAATCTGCCTTCAGGCCAGGTGCTGGCAGTGGTCATGCAACTGGACCACCTGGGAGAGGTTCTGGGTCCCGGTCCAGGGTGTTCTCGCAGTCATGATCCAGACTGGCTAAGACTGGGTGGACTGAGATGAAGACCATATATATATTTTTTTTTTTGGGGGGGGGGGTTTGTATCTCTGTCTTATGGGGAAAAAAAAAAAAAAAACTTTAAAAGAACATCTTTAGACTCTCTCCTCACCTCTCCACCCGTGTCTAATGTCCCATGTCTGAACAGTGGGGATGCACAACTTACACAGACTGAGTAAGAGGCCCTGAACAGGGTCCAACCTCATTCCCAGACTCCGCTTCAAGAATCAGTTATAGTGGGGGGACTTTGGCAGGAACTGAACCTCCTAGTTAAACCCACTGTGTACCAGGGCAGGGAAAAAAGAGTCCAAGGGAGGGAGGTGGGCCTGAGGTCGCCCGGCGTGTGTCTGGACTCCTAGCCCACCGCTCTTTCAACAGCAAGAACGGAGCAGCCCCCAGACACGCTGGGAGAAAAGGCACCTCCGACAGACATGGGTGAGAACCGCACAGCGGCTTACCCACAGTAACGATTAAGAAAACAACTCCAGTGATCACAACCCACGCCGATCTTCAGACCCCTCGTGTGGGATACTGTCTACCAACCTGGAGAGATGACCCTCTGTTGGGATCAGTTCCTGGGCAAAGCCACGTGAGGGGACACGAGCAGGTCACCCTCTCCACGGTGACTCGGGGCGAGGGGAGCTCAAGCTCACTCACCGTGTGGTTAGCGCCACAGGCCACGTCTCGCACCACCACGTTGGGTACCGGCAAAATCTGCCCGTCTTTCGTCTTCTCAATGAAGATGGCCACTCGCCGGGGCACCAGCTCACAGTCATACTCTATCCGCTGCGCCCGGGCGATGAACTTCCCATCCGAGTTATGTCCTGGAGTGAGCAGAGGAGCCTGTCACCAGCGGCGCAGAGAGGGCCCTGACAGCGGGCAGATCTACTGCAGCGGGCAGCTCCTAGGCGGAGTCTGCAGCATCTTCCCTGACCCGGTCAGCCTGAACACAAAGGCAGCGGCCGCAGTCCTAGACCTGGCCCATTAAGAGGGTCAGGAAACCAGTTTTGTGGAATGAGACCAATAATTCTTTCTTTAAAAGATAATTTTTAAGAACTATTTATTTCATTTTACTATTACTATTATTATTATTGTTCAATTTGACCGGGGTGGGGGGGGGAGCAGAAGAAAGGGAGAGTGAGAAACCAAGTTGCCAGGTCTGGGACTCGAGCTGGTCAGTCATGTGGGAGTCCAGCACCTTAACCACCATGCCACCTGTCAGCCCTGAGACAAATTGCTCTTTAAAAATAGACAGAAAAATCAAAAACAAAAGATACTCTATGTAAGGGCTTACCTTATGGAAATCCTTAGTCCACATTCTACATTCAAATTGGGTGGTCCCATAAAATGTACTGCCTACCACGGTGGCAGTCAGAAGGATGGAAACTGACACACGAGTAAACAGTCTGTGAGTGCGATCTGGGCCCCACTTGGGGGGTGGAGGGACAAGAAGCCCCAGATGGGTCAGGAATGAATAGAAGTGCAATACACAATTCCAGACTGGTTTTTATAAATTTTGTCTTAGAACTTGAAAGTCTGGAATTCTACTCTCCAATTGAAGCAATCAAGAGTTCACAAGGACCCAGGGCAGTCCCGGCAGCTATCCGGTCCTGGGAACACCCTGGACGCTCGTGGCTGTGGCTACCACCACACTGTGAACACTGCCCCCAGGTGCATGCCACGACTGTCAGGGGCCAGCTACTAACCGGCCGTGTCACGGCATGCCAGGTACTCCCAGCACTCCCTCTGGTTTGCCTGCCTTTACATCCACCTTTTACAGGTGTTGGGGTGTGTGTGTGTGTGCACGTGTGAACACGCCGTGCTTAGTAACCTTGGAATTACAACCAAAGTAAGTACAATAAAACCACTGGGCTTGCTTACAGGGCACTGGATTACAACGCCCTTCCCACAAGCAGTGTCATGATGCCACGCTCCACACCTGACATGTTCTCTTCCCACTGAGCCGGTCTATGGAAAAGCCTGACAGGCCCCGTCTGGGATTCCCCTGTCTGTTCAAGGCCATGAGGAACTTACTTACCTCGTGGTCAGTCATCGCACTTCAGGATATGGGAGCGCTCTCTCTCACACACACTCAAATATTTTTAAACATGCGCGGTCTTTGGGACAGTCTGAGTAAAGCGGCTAACAAGTTCTTGAGCCCTGAGTGACAGCAGAGTGCTGGAAACTGCCCGGGACAATCCCCAGAGGATGCAGGAGCCACACTGAGGGACTCTTTTCTCCTTCCTCCTCCTTTAAGGGCGCTGCATGACCTCAGCTTTCCCCCAAAGGACAGGGCAGCAAACCGTGGGACAAGACATCTTCCTCGCTTCTTAAAACCAAATTAAACGGTGTGTTCTTATCGCTGCCTGGCCTGACCCAGTAAACGTGTGGCCAGAAAGAGCATGTGCTCGAGTGAGTGCCGTGACATGGTTACGTTCCCGTTCCAAAAGGTGGATTTTGATACGGGGTTGAAAATATATTTTAAAGTTAAGCTGGTTAGGTAGGAGTAACTGATTCTATGGGTACAAATGAAGCCAATTCCAACTGCCTTTAGGTGCATAGACAACTAAGTGCATGGGATTGTCCAAAGTGCTCAAATGGAGACTGGTATCCAGTAACTGCTCTGAACATGGTAACAGTCATTACCAGTCCTAAGACCTTTCATGTTTCGTGAAGGAAGACTGACTGCTAGGAGGAAGTGCCTGCCGGGAGGCCGGCAGCAGGAGCTGCACACGTTGCAGGAAGCAGACAGCACTTCCGGTGTTCTGCCCAGGGCTGGGTACAGCATGAGGCCTGTGGCCATGGAAACGGCTTCTCCAACAGTCTCCTGTAACTCCTCAGCAACCAGCACGAATGTGCAGAAGGAGCTGTTTGTTCATCCTTATTCGCTTCTACCTCGAGGTATATTTAGTTTCACAAAGTCACTGTTCCCGACAGTCTAAGGCCACCGAGTGGCTCTGCAGTCTATTTATACATGTTTCCATCTGCCCGCTGCTAATGACGCGAGACCCGGCAACCCAGATCTGGAGCTGCGACAGGAGAGGCATGTGGCTGCAGCTCAGGAGCCAGCAGAGGGCGCCCACGCCTCACCTCCTCCTCCTGAGGACTCCCAGGAAGGGGTTGGCATGGAGGGAGGGCGTCAGGAAGAAAATAACACCTTATAGTGTCAGATGGGAAGAGAAAATGGAGACCTTGCAAAATTACGATTGGAAGACATTTCCCACTTACTGGGAATTGCTTAACCTTAATCTTGTATAATTTTCTAGTTTCTGATGAACGCAAATCTTTGTGAAACTAAATGAAGGTGGCTTGAATTTTTTTTTTTTTTTTTTTTTACAACTTTGAAATCCTTTTATAGAAGTGAATTCTTAAATCAGAAGAAAGAACCTTTTGTTAGACTCTAGTCCTGGCTTTCATTGAGGCACGTCATTGTACTATTCTAGAGCCCCGTGAGTTCCGCCACGCTGTCCCACTGCACGTGGGCCCCACTTAATGGATAAAGGCTATTATCCACGATCAATTACCCACATGCCTAACATGTGTGTGCAGCCCCACACTGACTTCTGGTTCCAAACACACAGCTAGATTACAGAGCTTTCAGAAAGTCTGAGGCATACCCAGCTGGCCGTATTCAGGGCACCCAAAGGAATAGAGGTTTCCTTTGCAGTCCATTATCATACTGAATTCAGCCCCGCAGGCCATTTTGGTAATTGGCTGGCCGTTGTACATTATCTGAAAAGAAAAAAACGGTAACTTTCAGACATTTTGAAAAGACTGATGAAAAAGTCCCTACCTCTCTGCACGTTGGTGAGAAATAACTCGTAGGTCACAAAAGACATTACTAGACTCAACGATTCTGGAGAAAAGCTGAGGGCACTTCTGTAACATGAATCTCGAGACGTATATACAGAAATATCCGCCTGACCCCCACCTTCCTAGGATAGGGTGGAGGTCAAATGCGGCACAATCACATCCCTGTCCTTGTCCCCAAAAATGCCTGTCGACGTGCCTTCCGCTGATGCTCAGCAAATGCTGAGTTTGAAGACCAGCCACGGTAACCAGGGTCAGAGAGATGAGGCAGCCTGTGACACCCCAATGGCACTTCAGCCCTAGTCCTGATGTCAGTGCCCACTTTTAAAACAACAAAGGATGGGAACCAGCAGTTAACGTAATGGCTTATGTTGCTGGACTCCCACATAGTCGACTGCGGTTCGCGTCCCGGACCCAGTGGCTTAAAACTCACGCCGGGCATGTGTGCATGCATGCCCAAGATTCCAAGAGGAGAATGGAGTAGAAGGGACTGACGTTCCCCCCTGGGGGGTGATTTCTCGCTTTCTGTCTCTATGTCTCTGTCTGTCTGGCAAGTGCACACGTCCTATAGTGAAAACCTCTCAAAAAAACACAAAACAACAACAACAAAAAAAAAAACAAAGGAAATCTTAGTTAACTAGTTAATTGCCCATCAGTCTGAATAAACCATGCTACATCTTCCTTCACTGCTTCAGAGCTGCTCAGAAGCCACATGGCTCAAGGTCAGGCAGTTGAGGAGAGACAGCAGTAAAGGCCTTGAAGTTTAACGTGGAACACACCCGAGAGACAGCCTAGAAAGCTACCTACTGCCAACTAGTCTGAGCGAGCCCTTCACGGGGCAGAACAAAGTTACAGAACTGTATGAGCAGCACTAAAATGGGACGGGGCACAGGCCAGGCCTGTCCCAGCACACCTGCTTACTCTCGAAAACGGTGGAGATTCCACTCTGGAACAAGTGGCTGGCAGGATAGCAAGACTCCTGAAATCCTTCAAACCACAGAGAAGCTTTGCCACTGTCCCTGTCTCAGGACAAGAGCTCTGAGCCCTCCCTGCCACCGCCCCACTCTGCACTGTCCGGCCTTGTGTCTGTGGCGCCTTTCTGTGATCTGAATCCTAGCCCCGACTTAACCCTGTTTCTGAGGAACAGGATACTTACTACCTAACCCAGTTCTTGTTTGTGTTCTAAGCACCTGTAGCAGGTAGCTTTGAATAGGTCAAAACAAAGTGTTTGCAGATAAGACAAATTACATCCACAAAACATTTATGAGAAATGCACATAACATTTCTCACTTTCTTTAAAATAGGTCAAACTTAAAGCCGCTAACCGATTTCATCATTTGGAGAGAAGCCCTGTATTCAGGATGTTTTCCAACCTGACGACAGGGTAAAGCAGTTTCAAAGATCACAGCATGTGGGTTCCACTTAAAGCACCTAGGCCACCTCTTCTAAGGGATCGACGTACTCAACTGGTGAGAGGGAGTATCTGAGCCAGCTCAGGAAGTCTAACACAAAAGTCAGGAGGAGCAAAATGCCCCAGGGCCACAGTCGGGAGCAGATACCTGTGCAGGGCTGGGGACCGCGTCTGTCTGGTTGCCAAGGCCCAGCTGCCCCATCTTGTTCTCTCCAAAGGCAAACACAGAGCCCGTTTCTGGAAGGAAGCAAAGTGTCACAAAAGAGAAAAGAACGCTGAGGGTTTCGAGTTAGAATCAAGATTACAGGCAGCAAAATAAAAACAGCCGCTCAATGGCCTGCAGAATGCAAATGAGACGCTGTTCCCACCACCTTGTATCACAAGCAGAGCGGAGAAAACACAGCCCAGCACACCCTGGGCTGGGCCTCCCAGACCAGCTCCCATGGCCAGGCCCTGGGGTACCCTCTATGCCCTCAGGAAGCCATCCACACCCCAGTTTGGGCCATCTTTCTGGTGCTGACCAGGAGCCACCCAGCAACTGCACCCTGCCCATGGTGGACCACGTGGCTTCTTACCCGTCAAGGCCAGGGTGTGGTTCCGCCCACAGGCTGCAGATACGATCGCCTCGTGGCTGAGACCCTCGATGAGTTTGGGGGCTTCAACTCTCTTGGTATCGCCATGTCCCAGCTGCCCCTTCTCATTCCGACCTGCAGACCACAGTGAGATAAGGTGGGAAGGAGCTCCCCAACATGACGGCCGAGACAGGCGAGAGCCCCTCCAGCTTCTCTTCCCATGGGAGTGGGGCTGGTGGCGACGGTCAGACCCAAGGCCTCCCCCAGACACCTCAGCAGCTGGTGCTGGTGGCAGGTGCCTGCCGGGCTATACTGGCCAGTGTCCCTGCTGCCACCAGACGTGGGATGGCAGCACCCAGCCTGGATGCTGAGAGCGGGGAGCACGGGGCTCACTTCCATAGCACCCGCAGGGCAGGGCAGCCATCCCTGGCCCCTATGCTCAGATGCGTTTGCAGACTGCTGCTGCTGACACTGAACTTGCAGTGTAAGCACCACCATCTCTGGGCACCTGCTCTGGCCCATCTGGCTTCTGCCCATGGTTTCCTACCCCGACAATAGTCCTCCCAGAACAGCACCCACGGCGCCCCCAGGGTTCTCCCTAAGCACCCGTAGCTACGGGGAGCCTGGTGAAGTTCTGCCCTGGCCTGGGGAAGCACTGCAGCTGTGGATTCCTGGAGGGAGGGCCTGAGGGGCCAACCCCGCCACGGGGTGCTGTGCCATATACAGGACCCCTGGAAAACTGAACTCAGCTCCAAACACATGGGGCAGGTTGGGGGACCAAAAAGAGGCCTAGAAGCCCCAACCCCAACCTAGTTTCCAACAAGGGCTGCAAGGGTTCCAAAACAAGTTCAACTGGCCACTCCCAGGGCCATGCCTCTAAGAATGCGCATAACCTAACACTTGGTGATGCTGATGAAGATTTTACACTTCCAAAAAGCAAGTTTCACACCCTTCCCAACAATAACCTTTTGCCTTTGGGTCATGAGAAACAGGAACAGCAGAGTGACAGAGAGAAGTGCCACCCACCCCAGAGGGGCCCACAGCCATGGACAGCCTTGCCTACACAAGGACGTGCTCCCAGAGGGAAGCTGCCCTCCAGCTGAAGAATGACTTGGGCCAGCCCCAAGTGTGGTGGTTAAGGCTGGATCCCACGTGGCCCACTGCACGGTTCACATCCTGGACCTGGCACCTTGCAAAACGCACTGGACGTGCACGCGTGCACACCTTCGAGATCCAGAGGAGAGGAGAAAGGACTGAGCATGGCTATCTCCCGTGGAGAGTGATCTCTCGCTCTCCTCCATCTCTCTCCAGTGAGTATAAACACCCTGTAGCAAATTTTTTTTAAAAAGGGGGCGGCTCAAAGGCCAACACCAGCATTCTTCCAACGGGGGCAGCCTAGCTCGCAGCTGAGTGGCAGGCCAGGTACGCCTTAAGCTCGTGGTGAGGGCTTCTGGCTCTGGACCACGTGGGTAACGCGTCAACCACTCTCCAGTGGCCCTAACGCTATGGACACCGACAACACCCTTATGCCTTTTAGATTGACTGATGGAGGACTCATGACCCCCCACCCACCCCCTCACAGCACACTGTGCACGGGGCCACGAGGGCGCGCTCTGAGGGACTGTTAGACGTGCATCACTCCCAGTCCGCAGGGTCAGCACAGAGGACACTGCAGAACTGCCACGTACGTGGGACTCAGGCAGGAGAGTGGCGCCTGCACAGGCACGCCACGTGGGTGCAGTGCATGGGGGGAAGCCACACCTCCATGCCAACCAGGAGAAACAAAGACCGTGGCAATGTCACATGTCATCAAGAGGCTATGAAGTATAAATCTGGGCCAGACACACTTGTTAGCTTTTTTTCAACAGAATTATAAAATTAGCAGAGTGCAGGGAAGACAACAGATGTTAATATATTTGGACTTCGGTACAGCAGCCCATAAAATCGCAAAAAACGGTCCTAACAGACTGAAATAAAAACGCTGTCATATGGACTAGAAGCTAGCCAAAGGACCAGAAACAAAGGGTGGGGACAAATGCCAACATACCCAGCTGGAAGAGGAGTCCAGGAGCTAGCAGTCAATACCTTATTAGTCAATACCTTATTAACGATGTGGAAGAGGAACGAGGCAGTAGCAGGAAAGCCATCTGCTGAGGACCAGCTAGCAGAAGGGCTTGGGGATAAAACGAGCCTTAGTCAATACCTTATTAACGATGTGGAAGAGGAACGAGGCAGTAGCAGGAAAGCCATCTGCTGAGGACCCTGACGGGGAAGGGGTGCTAAAGGCCAGGACAGGGGATCCAGCCCAAGACCTAGGTGAAGGAGCCGGCGAAGGGAACTGAACTGTCTGGAGAAATGGCCTGACACATGAGCAAGATATGCGGTGAGCTGCAGAGACTGCAGACCTGCGAGAGCCTCCGGAGTGGCGAGCAGCACGCGCCCAGCAGAGATGGCGGCTCGCTCACCACACACGGTGACAGCTCCATAGCCAGTGGCATTTAAACGGGCAGGAACAAAGGTCTGTGTCACGCCGTGCAGCAACGCAAGGGGTCGACCTGCTGGAGGGACAGCATGCCTGAAACAGGCCTTCGATTTCAGGCACCTCAGTCAGGACACCAGGGAAAGGGCCCCTCGAGAAAGATTCAGAGAATCGGGGCTACACACGGACAAACCCGGCACAAAGGTTTGCAAGGTGGGGCTTTGCAAAGTTGGGAAGATAAAACGGGCTGCGAGAGAAGGCTTGAGCCTCTTTCCCACCGAGGTAAACAGAAGGATGCAACCACCCATGAGGGCCAGCAGATGGCATAGCGGTCACGCCATGGGACCACCGTTTGGGTCCTGGACCTGGTGGCTTGAGACTCACACCAGGTGCTGTGTGCATGCCACGATCCCAGGAAAATGGAGAAGGGACAGTGGTATGGCCAGCCCCCGGGGGTGATTTCTCATTTTACCTCTCACTGTTTCTCTCTCCAATGACGCACACACCCTAAGACAAAAACCTCTTAAAAGGAGAAACGGAAAAAAAAAAAAAAAAAGGGACATAACTGTGTGAGAAAAGCTCCATGGCCGATGGCCCTGGGTGGCGTGGCAGGGCCCAGCCTACGCGCAGTACTTACCCCAGCTCCACAGCTTGCCTTCCGTGGTGATGAGGAGGCTGTGGGCCGCACACGAACCCGAAACCACCGTCCGCACCCGGACCCCAGAGAGGCACCCATATCTGTGGGGCCCCCACAAGTTCTGACCGAGATTGCGGTAAGCAGCTGCAAAGAGAACAAGAACGCAAGTCAGAACAACCCCGAGCAGGGCCATGTGGGTGATGGATTCCCCAACAGGCACTAGCACCAAGGGCCGAAGCTCCTTAGGGTACCACGCAAAGCTCACCAGGGTGACATCTATCACCCGATTCTCTAGTAGCTCCAAAGCCCAAAGAGCAAACTGCCCTAGGAGCTGGCAGGGCCCTGACTCACTGGCCCCTCACAATGTTGTCACCCACCTCGGACCTGCCCTACAAGCCTCGGCTCCCGTGTGACTGCTATTGCCCACACCAAGCCCCAAGCCCGGCTCTTGGTCCATCCATGAGGCTTGAGATGGGCCTTCCTGCAGCCCTGTCCACGAGGACAGGGGGTTCCTCACTCTGCAAATAACCTGCACCACCCACCGCTTCTCACTCCAGTACCTTCCTCAGGTTCTCTCCACCTCTCCTGTCCCTAGGCCTCTACCTGCAGCCAGAGAAGGTTCTCTCTGACTAGTGTCCCCATCCCCCTGCAAGTCACCTACGCTTCTGCTTCTAGCAGGACTCTCAAGGCCCTTTGCAGAGGGGCCCTGCATACCCCTCCCCCGGCTCCACTCCAAACACAACCTTCCTCCTTTTCCAGGCACCTGTCCCAGTGTGTTGGCCTTCCCTGCCCCACTCATCTCCAAAGCTCAGGTCAAGCAAGCACTCCTCCAGGATGCCCTCCCAGGCCACCTCAGGCTTAGAAACCTCCCCTTTGATATGAGGGTCCCTGCCCTAATACCCCACATAGCCCATCACAGAACTTCTATTGAGCCTCCGCTGGCCAGTCCTAACTCTAACCCTTTGGGTGACAGTGACCCAAAGTCCCGAGCTAGGTCACCCTCGTCTGCCTGGGGTCCAGGACACGTAAGCACTAGCAGGACCGTGGGAGGGGAGAAGCATCACCTCACCCTATTAGTGGACAGGGGGCACGAGCAAGTTCCTGACTGATGTTTTCAATCTGGGGCTCTCGGAAGCGTCTCCAGGACTGTTTGACTGTTTAGAAACATCAACCACCACCAAGCTGTGTGCCAGGCTGATCTGGAGGGAGGAACTGACCAACAGGCTGGGGCTCACCAATCACCTGGCTCCCTGGAAGACTAGAGCTCGAGTCACACCTGGCACAACAGCAACACACCCGGGGGTGAAAAGAAATCCAACAACTTCCAGGACAAAGAGCAAACCAGCGACAGCCCCACAGGCTCCAGGACAGCTTTTCAAGAAACCTAAGCAGGCACCTCAGCAGTAGCTGCATCTTCGCCCTATTTATCATGAAGGCCAAGTGAAAGGTGCTGCAACCGCGACTCCGGGGGGGAAGCAGGCACACGGGCACACAGCTGGGCCAGGCGGGCTCGCCCACAGCAGGTGCTCATTGGTCTGCCCACACAGCATCGCTTCAAGGCTGTGTGAGTACCAACACCCAGCATGGCATTAGCCCGGGAGAGAAGGGACCCTCTCAGCCACCCAGCAACTCTGCCCAGGAGAGTCTGAGACAAACTAAGTGTCTGGGAGCGGCCCAGGGCTCCACAGCCAGGCTTGGCTGGCATTACCTCCCAGGGCTCCAGACCGGAAGACTGGTCCTCCTCAGAGCCACAGCGGGGACCACTCCCCTAGCGTGTAAATGAGCAGGACCCCCTGCAGGTCTGCCAGATCAGCTACACCATCCTCAGTCCAGCTGGCCTGAAGGCCCACTTCAAAGGTGGACAAGAGAGGGTAGGTGGCCAAGGCATTCTTCCCTCTGCTTTGGGAGCCAGTGGGAAAACGAGCCCTCCCTCCCTTCCCTCTGTGTGCTGGCGAAGGTTACAGAGGGCCTAGGGCTCTTTAAAAATGTTTTTAAAGTGAAAAAAGTTATATGAAACTTTATTCAGAGGAAGAGGGAAAAAAAATATATCAAGGAAATTCTTGAAATGAGCCTAATTTAGGATGACATTTATTCACCTAGGGCAAGAGTCTGCTTCTGACCTGCCAGGGAGCTTCCCGCCCTGTGCCCTCAGAGGTCAAGGGGAGGCTGAGCTGGTAGCGGCGGACTGAAGCCGTCGGGGCCACCACCCTGGGCAGCGCCACTCCACGTGCCGTCGTCCAGAGGCGACCAAGCCGAGAGCAGGCACTCCAACCCAGGCCTTGCGCCTGTTTCCTGCTAGAACGCACGTCCGCTCCAGCCTGCATACTTTGGGCTGGGGAAGGATACTCCTGTAAGAGCAGCTTTGAGAGGTGATGCAACCCGGCACGGGATTAGCAGATGCCCCCGCACACAGAGCTACATCTTCACAGACCAGGAGGCACAGTGGGACCCCAGCCATGTGCAGGCCTGCCCCTCTATGTGGTTCGGGCCCGGTTCACTCAGCTGGACCCGGAAGCTACAGAGACTCCTGCTGTTTTCAGGGAACAAGATGATCTCGGCGACCACGCTGAGGTGCGAGGGTGTGCCATGAGCAAATATTTGTTCATGGGCAAAGCAGTATTGGGAAGCACTTTGGGAATCTCTCCAAATGAAATCAAGACACCATAAAATGAGGCGAGGTGCCAGCCTGCTTCTCAGGGATGGGCCTGTTTCTCCTGGGGAGAGACACCAATTTTCTAAAAGCAACTGGGGACAAAAAGTTCCTTCTTCCGACCTCTCTGCTCCCCCTCCCCTCCTGCAGGCTGTTACTTGTTCTGTCAAACCAGTTCCTGCAACAACAATTTGGCAGCTTGCAGAGAAATGTGGACTCTTCTGCAATGTCTGACATTCTGACACCTGACATTTGACAAATGTCTAGGACATGAGAAGGAAGATGACAAGGAAGCGGCAATGTTTATTTGAGGGTACTATTCATATTAATCTTAATGGAACTTTTTTTTTAAGCGGTAGAATTGTGAGAGACTTGCAGAAGACCAGAATTCAGATCCAATTCCATCACTAGTGGCTGTGTGGACTCAGGCAAGTCACTCTGCCTCTCTGAATACACACACAACTGGGACAATACCTACCTGGTGGGGGGGGCCACAGCCAGCACACGTGAAACACTCTAACACATTCGTAGGAACAGTTTTTCATACCTTGTTGTTTAGGCACTTCTTTTCGACCAATCAAGTCCCAGTTGGTTGCCCCAAATATCAAAAGCTGCCCTTTGCACTTAGACCCTTCAAGTTTCTACAGAGACAGAGAGAAGGGAAAGAATTAGTTTATAAGGCTACTTCTAGCATTCCAAGTCTATCCAAAGACAGCAGGAAACAAAAGGAAGAAACTGTTAGTGCTTTTCCCTGGGGGCTCCCCACATAGGGCACTCACTGGGTCCACCCACCTGCCCCTCAACTGCGTTTCCACTCACCCCAAATCTGCCTGAGCAGCTCGGTTATGCCGTCACTTTTACCCTTTGACTGCCAGGTTACAACGATCCCCCTTCACTGCAAACCAATGCACGGGACTTGCCCTGCTGCACCAGGCGTGAACGGCGGCCCCTCCCCGGGACCCAGCCTACGTCCCCATGGCCAGTGCAGCAGTCCACGGGCCACGCCAGCCTCAGGAGGCCTGTGTCACATCTGTATGGAACCACACCACAATCCTTCCCACCCTGCCAAGAGCCCTTCCAGGGGACCTGGGAGGGAGAATATCAGAGACCAGTGTCCGACTCCTCCACTGGAGGGAGGGAGAGCTGCATGTCCACGGGATGGGAGGGTCTATCGACGTGGCCTTCTCACTGCTGGCCCCAAGCCAGGGAACAACGAGTGGAACGAGGGTCCCCGGGGTCAGGCTGTTGTTTCACGGTACTGCAATTCTCGTCCTCAATCACCTCAACACAGAGTCACTAGGGCCACCGACTCTGGTAGTGGAAGTTTGTGCCATTTGAAAAGGCCACCATCCAATTCTGGGTGGCACTCACAATATTCTCAGAACTTTGCTTTTTTAAATGTCAAGATAGCGTCTTCTGAAGAAGCAGACCATTAATCATAGTCAATTTGGAACTGTCCACTCAGGGCAACCTTAACTTCACTTTCTACTTTCATTCTTCACATCATCGTCCCAGACATTAAAAGGAAAGCGGGCTCCTTCTGCCTACAGTCTTCTTGGAAGCCTTCAGGTAAAAAGGCCAGTTCCAGATGTGACCACTCTAACCTCTACACGGAGATGGCCTAGGCTGGAGAGGTTGCAGCAGTTCCGACCAAGCATATTTAAGATCATGCATCTTAACGATAAAGACTTTCCTGGGACCAGCAGTCGGCATAATGGCTATGTCACTGGACTCCCATGTAGTCGACCGTGGTTCGAGTCCTGGACCCAGTGGCTTAAACTCACACCAGGCGCGTGTGCGTGCATGCCCAAGATCCCGAGAGGAGAATGGAGAAGAAGGGATTGCGGCGTGGCCATCCCCCCTGGGGGTGATTTCTCACTTTCTGTCTCTCTCTTTCTGGCGAGCTCACTCACCTTATAGCAAAAGCCTCTCAAAAATAAAAATAAAAATAAAAAAGGAAAGAAAGAAAAAGACTTTCCTTTCCTTTCCAGAACCCAAACCTGACATCCAGATGTCCCAGAGTACGGGTCCCAGCACGCTGGATACCACCGCCATTGTCTATGGTAGGAGGAGGATGGTCAACCTATGCCCTACACACAGCTCAGAGCGGAAAGGAAGCAGCCCAGGAATGCAGGATGAATTATTCAGAGAAGGCCTGTCACAGGGGAGGCCACCCCTGCAGCACCCGCATACTCAGATTACTTGCAAGGGGCCTGGTTTCCTCCAGTTATCTCCCCTTCTCTGTGTCACTGGCAGGCATGGTAGGAATGTCCTACAGGGCTAGTGAAGTTGGGGTCCTCCTGACAAGGTCCTGTGGAAGAAGCCCACAACAGAGACAGAAAGGAACTAAGGCATGGGCGACAAGTGGCCAGGCCAGAAGCAGCATGAAAAGCGGCCTCGGAATGATGGGTACTCTAGGCCGGCAGCCCCCCAGGCAGCCGAGCTTCAGGGGTGCCTGTGTTCACTACCTGACGCAGCGATGCTCTCCCACAGCCAAACTGTGCCAGTACTGCGGCCACCGCAGGACCCTGGGCTCCACTGGGCAGAGGGCACGGGCTGTGTTCAGAGGGCCGGAACTTGCCACAATATCCTTTGGGGGGTGGGGGCTTCTAGGTGACTTGGGCATGGCCCATCAACACTGGCCAATCCAGCCAACCTTTCTGACAACAGATGTCTGTGGAAAACCCTGGCAGACCGGGTCGACGTACCAGTGCCTGTAATGGGCACGAGCTGCTCTCTCGTTCAAGTTTCCCCGTCACAGAATGTTCTTTCCTTACGCACTGGACGGAACTGTGTGATCTACACAACCGTATGCTATAAGCTGCTTATCTCTCTCTGTAAATTCACCCTTCTCTCCACGTTACACGGAATAAAAATTTTAAAAAGGAATAAAACTCCTAAGGCCCCTAAATTACAGCCCATGTTCCTATTTATCACAGACCTAAGCCTGTGAGGCAGGACAGAGACCCCAGGGAGGGGGCTCAGGTGACCTCTAAGGCTCACTCAGCCTTCACTGATGCACAAAGAGATTGTAAAGAGGTTTTTTGTTTTGTTTTGTTTTGTTTTGTTTTTTGATGAACACAGGGTCTGTGATAGTCTTTGTGTCTAAGGTCCGTGTGGCGGAAAAGCCTGAGAAGTGTCCCATAGGATGGGTGAATTTCAGTGTCTTGGATGCCTCCAGTAATGAATGTCCGTGGAAGAAATGTGCACTGAGCTTCTCCAACCAACAAAATGGGATTTCTGGTCCAAAGCGATGTCTGAATTATTGCCCAAGCGCAACGAATATGTGCAGAGGCCGGGAGTCAATCTTTTAACACATATCTGTTTAGGAGACGGCTGCTCTCAGAAGTCAGATGCCCAGAGAGAAATGCCAGCAACAATTCCCTAATGGGCAACAGACTTCAAACTCCGTTCTCAATTGGGTTTATTGGGTTCCTTCAGACTGACAGATTTGACTCAGGGTTCACAAAACCTCTGCAACCCAAGACTGGAAAAACTATTGGGTGTCAGGAAAATTATGTCCCATATTTGCATAGAAAAACAGAAAAACACATCAGGACTTCCCCAACGACCTAATACAAAGACCTGGGTGGCCTACGACGTGCTCTCGCCCGTTTCCCAGGACTCAGCTCACTTTCCCTGCTTTACAAGGTTATGAGGTTCACCAGGAACGGGGAGAATCACCCAGGCCCTGAATGCTCACCGGACATAACTAAGACAAACCTCAGGCCCTTGAGACCAGAATCATAAGCATGCTTCCTAAAGTGCACACCTCGTACTTGGGCCATGCCCTCCTCAGCACAGTAGCAGGCCACCTTGCACAAGCCCCGTATCTGTAGCTTTGGCAAGCTGAGGACAACATGGCTTTAGACAACTCTGGGGAGGCCGCGCTCACACAATCCTCCTTCGAGCTGCTGACTAGGAGCAAGGCTTGCACAACACTTGGTAAAAAAGCGCTTTCTGAAACAAGCTAGGGACTGCTGTCAGCTGTCAGCAGCATCAGACTCCCCAGGATGGGTTTTCAGGGGAGAACAGGAACCTGGGGCCAGACATCCTAGGCAGGAGGCCAACCCAGGACAAGGAGGAGGTCGCTGGCCCAGTCCTGCGGAAAGGCAATGGGGCTGCAGGGACCCAGCCCTGACCCTGAACCACTTGGCGGACGCTAGTGGAAACTGGGACCGGGGATGTGCACATTCCACAAGGCGTAACAGCATCAGTTGTTAAACCCCTGCTCTCTTGGATGCTGATGCTAGGACAGTGTACTGACCAGCTGAAGAACTACCTGCTTCACATGTCCTTCTGTTTTTCTAAGGGAATGCTTTTTAAAGGAGGAGAGACTGCAGAGCTCTCACATACCTGTTCTTATCTTACACATAGGTATCGCTAGCTTATATGCTTTTCTATATACGTAGGTAAGTGATATACCTATGCGTGTACATAAACAGGAATTTAAAGATCAAATGTAAACTGTGATGGACTGCAGCAACCACCCAAGAGAGCACACAGGAAGACTGACCCAGGTGCCACTTCTATGAGACCAGCCTGCTTCAGGAGCGCTGGAGGAATGGGCTAGGGGAGTAGCTAGTGCATACTGGTTCCTGTTAGACTAGCCTGTTGGGTGAATCTCAGCAAGGAGTAAGAATCTTTTACTTTCTGACAACAAACTCAATGCCCTAATAGGTCAACCAGAGCTGTGCAACTGGCAACTGCAGAGCAGATATTCAAACATGAAATCTAGCCCTTACAAATGCACTCAAAATAGAATAAAAGAGAGGCAGGGGCCCACCCCACCTTTCTTTCAAATTTTGTCCCCAAAACACTGTGACCGGAAGGAAAATGTCTGGAGTCCAGCACACTTCAAGAGACCTGTCAAAGGAGTCAAACAGGAATACATACCCTGTACTCCCGCTTCTCAGTACTCTGGCTACCTGGGACCAACTCACCCTAAACCCTAGCTAGACAAGACCTTCTGACAGCCAGGCAGTTGGTGATACCAGGTCTCCTCCACCGTTCAACGTGTTAACTTTTTTGGGAGTCCTAAAGCATTTCCACATGTCCACGTGTGCTTAGTTAAGGGGGGTACTGAGCTCTAACCCCACATGTCTTAGATAAGGCCCTCAAGCCCGGTGCCCAGCTGCCTGATCTGTAAAGTGCAGATAGAAAATGCATTACAACTCTAACCACTGGAACACAGCCTGAGCTCTGGGGAAAGCAGTCTGTTATAATTAACCTAAACATCCTCCAGTGTAGGGACTGAAGGGGAGAAAAGTCTCTCTCAAGTGTCTGACTTTAAATGCTTCTGAAAGTTTTGACCCATTCCCTAAAAAACGTGCCACACCATGACAAACTGCAAAAAGTTCCGGTGGGGATGGTGCAGACCCCAGGTTCAGAATCTGTAGGTCTGCAGGATTTTGCACACAACTAAGTTGCTTGGCCACAACCTGAATCGCAATTTGAGCAAACTGAAGCTCATTTAGACCACAGGAAACAGTTCTTCACTGGGGGGCTGCAACAGAGCCCACCCCAAGAACCCTGCAGCCTCCGACCACCAGCAGCAAACAAAGCCCAACTACCTCTCAGCCAGGGGGCTTCCCTGACCTGGTGGGGGGGCTCTCCGGAGCATGCGCCCTCGGTCCCGCCC